ATGTCCCAAATCAAACCGACCTCTCCTCCTCCCACATCTCAGCAAATGACAACCTCGTCCTGCCAGCTGCTGATACAAAAACCTTGGAGTCACCTCTGAGTCTTCCTTCTCTCACACCCTCCGTCAGCAAGTCTTTTTTTTTTTTTAATTTTATTTATTTTTGGCTGCGTTGGTTCTTCATTGCTACACACAGGCTTTCTCTAGTTGTGGCGAGCGGGGGCTACTCTGTGTTGCGGTGCCCGGGCTTCTCATGTTGCAGAGCATAGGCTCAAGGCACGCGGGCTTCAGTAGTTGTGGCACGTGGGCTCAGTAGCTGTGGCTCACAGGCGCTAGAGCACAGGCTCAGTAGTTGTGGCTCATGGGCTTAGTTGCTCCGCGGCATGTGGGATCTTCCTGGACCGGGGCTCGAACCCGTGTCCCCGGCATTGGCAGGTGGATTCTTAACCACTGCGCCACCAGGGAAGTCCTGTCAGCAAGTCTTGTCCTGAGTCAGACCATCTCCCAGCAACCCTCCTCTCCCTGGGTGATGGCAGTAGCCTCGTCACTGGTTTTGCTCTTTCTCCTTTACCAGGATGAGCAGTCATCCCAGTTTGCCCAGGACTGAGGGACTGGCAAGGCCGCCCAACTTTAAGTGCTAAAACCAGGAAAGTCTCAGGCAAACTGAGATCACTTGCTCACCCCACCTTTACCCCATCACAGGCGCTTCTCCGTACAACAGCCCAAGTGTCCTTTTAAACTCACACAAGTCAGATCACACCACAGCTCTGTCCCAAACCCTCTAAGGATGTCCCATTTCACTCTGAGTTCTTAAAATTGTCTACAGGTTTGTACATGAGCTGCCACCAGCCCCACCCCCACCCCTGTAACCCCTGACATCCCTCCCCACACCCTCCCCATCCTCTCTGCTCCAGCCAGCTGGCCTCAGGCTCTCTCTTACACACATCGCCTGTGCGTCCTGCTCAGGGCCTGTGCACTTTCCGTCCTATCCTGCTGGAATGTTCTTCTCCTGGACGTCCACATGGCTCTCTCCTTTGCTGCCTTAAATCTCTGATCAAATGTCACTTTATTCGACAGCTCTTCTCTGGCTATCCCTTAAGTATCTCCCCCTGCCATCCCCTCCACTCCTTTATTCTGCTTTATTATTCTCCATAACACTTGTTATTTACTGGAATATGTATTTCTTTGTTCATGTGTCTTTCAGAGGTTTCTCCGGAGGTGAGGGAATGCTTCACCAGGTCTGGGACTTTTGTTTATTTCTGCCACGTCCCTGGTTCCTAGAATAGTGCATGACATATTTTTTGGTTTAAAATCATTCTTTTATTGCCCAGGACATTCTTTTTCTTGTGTCTTGATTTATTGTTGTTGTTTGTTTGCCTCTTTGTTTTGTTTTCTTTTTTAATAACTATAAATTCAAGCTTAGGAAAGCTTGTCTTTGTCTTGAAAAACAACAAATTTTTTGTTTTTTTTTAAAATTTATTATTTATTTATTGGCTGCGTCAGGTCTTAGTTGAGGCATGCGGGATCTTTGGTTGCGGCGCACAGGCTTCTCTCTAGTTGTGGCATGCAGTTTTTTCTTTCTCTAGGTGTGGCAGGCAGGCTCCAGGGCACATGGGCTCTGTAGTTTGCGGCACGCGGGCTTCTGTAGTTGAGGTGCGGGAGCTCAGTAGTTGTGGCGCACGGGTTTAGTTGCCCTGCAACATGTGGGATCTTAGTTCCCTGACCAGGGATCAAACCTGCATTCCCTGCATTGGAAGGCGGATTCTTTACCACTGGACCACCAGGGAAGTCCCAAACAATGAAGTTTTTATATCATTTGCTAACCTGATCTCGTTATTTTTTGTTTTTAACATCTTTATTGGCATATAATTGCTTTACAATGTTGTGTTAGTTGCTGCTGTATAACAAAGTGAATCAGCTATATGTGTACATATATCTCCATACCCCCTCCCTCTTGTGTCTCCCTCCCATCCTCCCTATCCCACCCCTCTAGGTGGTCACAGAGCACCGAGCTGATCTCCCTGTGCTATGCGGCTGCTTCCCACTAGCTATCAGAATGTTTTTAATGAACCTGGAGGTTTGTTGCATCACTGCTTTTCTTGTGAATCTGCACATGATTTCTCAGAAAGAACAATCCAAACCCGCCCTGTCGCCGATGCTGCCCAGCGCTACTTCCCACTTTACTGGGGACAGGGGTCAGAAGAGGCACCGCTGAAGACAGGCGTCTGTCACCCGTGCTCGTGGGACAAGGAGGGCAAGGAGGCAGTGGGTACACAGTGGGACTCTCACTTCTTGGGCACCTGTCGTGGGCCAGGGGCGCCACGCACCATTTCTGATCCTCACATCCCCTCTGTGAGGTGGGAATTATTGAGTCCTTTTTCCCGTTCAGGAAACCAAGGGTTAAATGCCTTGTCCATGGACCTTTCCCCCACCCTCCTCGCCCAGCTCCCCACCATGTCTTGCTGGTTGTCTCTGTGAAATGCAGCCCCTTGGTCTCCCACAACATCGCCCGCAGCCCAACTTCTCACCCCGCTAGACTCATATTCCTCACAGACCAGCATGATTGTTGGGAAACGCATGCTCCTCCCTGGAACCTGACAGCGGCTTCTTGTTGCTCTTAGAATGGAATTCTGACTTCTC